GTCCAAGATTAACCTTCAGGGTGGATATAGCTCGCTAGCAGCCTCGCACCGAGGATCTATCCACATCATCATTTTCCCAGAATGCTTTGTGTGTAAATAAAATGGCCCCATCTGTGTAATATATTTTTAAACTTTTAGCTTAAAAAGGATAAAAATTGAACAGCCTACAGTATTTTTACAGCCTTTATTTTACAGTTAAAATATGTTTTTTAAATAAAGTCTAATGTTACAACTAATCAGGGATCTCTTTAAAAACATGTCTATGCAGACAACACAACCACTTTTAAAGAGCCTGTGACATGCATTTCCTTCGAAACAAAAAAGTCAAGGAAAACATCTTTATATTTCAGAAACTTTGCATAATAACTTGGGGCATGATTTTAACACATTTTTTCACATAACTCATATATTTTTTTTATTTTGGCTCAGCTAAAGTGAAACAGGAAATGACATCAAAGGGGAAATCTTTAGAAAATGTTTTGAAATTAATGATTGCGGTTTAATTTTTACATCTCAAAAGTGTGGCACTTTAACAGAGAAGTGTCAGCTTTTCTATCCATTGTAAGAAAAAGAGCTGGTGGCGTGTTTGTGTGAGCGGTCCTAAACCCATCTGTCCCTGTCCAGAGACTGATTGAAGAGGAGAACATGCTGGCTCCGTCTCTGCAGCAGTTCTCCTTGCGCACAGAGATGCTGCCTTCCTACATCCCCATCCGAGTGGCTGAGAAGATTCTCTTTGTAGGAGAGTCTGTCCAGATGTTTGAAAACCACAACCACAGCCCATCCAGAGCTGGTACGGACCCAGAGAGTTACATGAAGTTTTGTGTAGTGTTCTTTCTTTGTCCTACTATAAACAAGCTTTTCATTGTTTTGCTTCAGGCTCCATATTAAAGCACCAGGAGGACCTGTTTGCTGCAGAGCTGCACAGACTCAAGCAGCAGCCTCTGTTCAGCCTGGTGGACTTTGAAAATCTAATTGATCACATTAGAAGCACAGTGGCAGAGGTGAACTCACACAGGGTTGCATCATTTTTAGTCTTTTTATTCAGTAACTCAGAGACAGTGTTGTAAAGTTCAGTCTGATACATTTTGACCTGCAGCATCTGTGGACACTGATGGTGGAGGAGGCAGACCTGCTGGAACAGCTCAAGGTTTGTTGTGTGAAGGATGAGGCAGCGCTGACACTAGTTTTCTGTCCTGTTTTGTTTTTCTATGTGCTTTTTTGCTATTTTTAGCATACTTTGTGTCCTTTAACTAATAATACATCTAAACATTCAGCTCGTTTAGGAGATAGGTGCTATAACTGTTAGCTTTTTTAACTTGTATATTTTTAGTTTCCAAATATACGCCCCAGAGAAATACATTGAGATCCTTTAATTCCTTGGTTTTTTTTCCCACTTAAATCTTTATTGGTGCTTTTTAAAAAATATATAAAACAGTAATTAAACAGAAGGAAAAAAACTATTGATATGACTTGACAGTTTCACATACTGGTATATATGTTTATTATGTTGTCCTCATTCTGTATTTAAAGTCTTATAGAGGGTCCATTTTCCCCACAGTTGTGTCTCTTGTAGCCTCAGTATGTGCATCAATTTTTCCATCAAAACTATTTCTTCTTTAATTGTTGTCCATTGAGCTCTTGTTAGTGTTGTTTCCTTTCCCCAGTTCTTGGTGATTGCTTTCTTGGCTGCTACCAGCAGTATTTTGATCAGGTAGCTGTCAGGAGGGGTCATTAGGGATGCAGCGAAATGAGAATTACAGCCGAAATCAATATCTGATATAATTATTGCTGTTATGGCAGATAACCGATATTTAAAGGTATTACATACACACTGATAATATTGTACATGTACTCACAAACACACTTGAGTCTTTTGTCAGTACTGTAAATAAACAACCAGACCTCTGACATGGCTCTACTTCAGTTATTCCTGGTTACGCAGCATCAATATCACTATCATGATCAAACAGATGCTGCYCAACCAACCATCTCCCCTCCCAAAACAGAAACACAAAGATAAAAAGTGAAAAATCAATATCAGATGTTAATATCAGCCCAGTTTTAAATATCGGACCAATACAGATATTCTAAAAAATGATTAATATCTGCCAATACCGATGTTGATGCCGGTATATCRTGCATCTCTAGTTGCCATAGTTCTTTCTGAAAATCTGCCAAGATATAGATCTAAGCAAGTTCTTGGTATTCCAAATCCTAGTATTTTCTATAACTCAGATATAATTTCCCAAAACATAGTTATTCTATTACATTTCCAAAAGAATGTGTGAATGGTTCACATTAAAGGATCCTCATCCTCGCCAACATCTCTGATAACTTTGAGATTGTTTACTTTTCAATTTTAATTCCTTGTTTTTAACACATTTTCTTATGCCTCTTTTAGCAGCCGTTCTGCTAGTTTTAGCTTTTAGCCAGCCTTTTGTTACTTTCAGCTGGACATTGCTGCTTTTACTTAGCATTGTGCTTCTTTTAGCTATGGTTGAGTTTCTTTTATCGTTCAACAACTCTTTCATTTTCTTCAGCTAATTTCTGCAGCATTCGGCATTAACGCTGCATTTTTCTAATTAAAACAATTTTTTAAGCAATAATCCTTTCAGAACGAGCTGCGCTGACTTCCTGAGTCTCTTCTAGATCATCAAAGACTTCTACTTGTTGGGTCGAGGGGAGCTCTACCAGGTTTTCATCGACCTCGCGCAGCACATGCTGAAGACGCCTCCAACAGCTGTGACTGAGCACGGTACAGATAAGACCGTCATATTCAGCTCTGTAGGACAGAAGCTGGAAATTTGTAAAGCTTTGTAAATGTATGGAAGAATTATAGTCTCATCTATTTTATACATATATCAAATTTATAACACTGTATTTTTATCTTTTGTAATTTTGTATGTGAATTTTTCATTACTTCAAATTCACCAGAAAAGAATTTACCGTAAAAAAAAATTTTTTTTTCCACTTGTTGACCTTCTGGTGACTGGAGCCAAAGCAATCAGCACTGGATCAAGTCGAGCAGCTTTTAGCCACTCAGAATACACTCATTAGATCACATCACCATCGTGTTGGGCAGAGGTCATATGTAAGTCTGGTGAAGCTGATTTTGTGTTAAAATGGCTTGCCATAGTAGACATGGGGTGGTGCAGTAGCTGTCATCTGGTCAGACACGTTTCACCAAGTTTCATTAGATGAATAAATAATACAACTCAATTGGTTGTCAGACAATACAACCCCAATAGCCTATATGCCACGGACATCCGGCCCAGCGCTTGATGTCACTCCCAACACTTCCGGTTCACGGTGAACACAGTGTTGGCGAAAGTTTTTTTTCACCTGACAATGACTCTTARTGATCTCCACAGTACAGAATTAGCATATTACATGTACCAACATTAASACAGGAGACGTACAGGTCCAGCCAAGTGGAAAAAAAAATCACTCCAAAGTGGATTAAAGCCATAAAAACAAGGAAAGACGTTCGTGTTTRTGGTTCCAGAATTTAGCCTTTTTCGCTATTCTGTGGCTGCTTGTTCTGTGTATTTTTTCACGTAGAGCTGTGACACTTATATTGTTGGAAAGAGCAGAGTCTGGGCTTTAAATCAATGGGCTACTTGTATGGTTTGAATCGTTTTCCCCGATAGTGAACTGAAAACATAATTATCAGGCGGAGTTTCTGCTGCTCTCGGTGCTCGGGGAGGGGGGCGCTCGTCACTCGGCTTTAGTCTACACTGTAATCTACACTCTAACAAGTTTTTACTTTTGCATAAAACTCATGACAAAGTCACATAAAAACATTTCATATAACACAAACGCGTGCGCGCACACACCTACCTTTGTACTGGCTGCTGTGTTAGCTTCCTGCTAGCTGTCGTGTGGAGGAGGTCTTTCCTCTCTTGTCTTGGCAGTAAAAGGGGATAAATGTACATTTCCCTTTTGTAACCTCTGTCTTCTCATTTCTGTTGCTGGCTCTTGAATATCCTCAGGTTAGAAATGCTGATTACAAACGCAAGCGTGAGCTTTTAAAGATAAGTTTTCCCTGTAATGCTATGATCCACTGCTGTCACCTCCTCATCAAGAGGAAAATGGAGAAAAACTAACTACTCGATCGTACTGCTGGTTAGTGGATATACAACAGAACTCGCGTTTTATACCAGTAGCTCACAGATGCTTTAACTTTTGTGACTTTTTCACGGACTAGTACTAGGAGCTAACGCTAACAACATAGGCAGTAAGCAGGGAGTGGAAGGGAGGAGCATGGCAAGAATTTTACCAGAAATACGTCATTGATGACTGTGGCATATAGGCTATTCTAATGAAGTTGGGACATTGTGTAAAACAGAAATAAAACGATGATTTGAAAATCTTTTTTAGTGTACAGTGAGGTCCATACCTATTTAGACGAGACGTTTTCCTGATTTTGGTTCTGTACATTACCACAATGAATTTTGAACCAAACATTTCAGATGCAGCTCAGTGGGTTGAAGAAAATGAACAGAAATGTGAGGAACTAAAGCATCTTTTAAACACAGTCCCTTCATTTCAGGGCCTCAAAAGTAATTGGACAGATTAAATAATTGTAAATAAAATGTTCATTTCTAGTACTTGGTTGAAAAGCCTTTGTTGGCAATGACTGCCTGAACTGAACTGTCTTGAACTCATGGACGTCACCAGAYRCTGTGTTTCCTCCTTTTTAATGCTCTGCCAGCCTTCACTGCRGYGGTTTTCARTKGTTGTKTRTTTGTGGGCCTTTCTGTCTGAAGTTTAGTCTTTAACAAGTGAAATGCTCAGTTGGGTTGAGATCAGGTGACTGACTTGTTCATTCAAGAATATTCCACTTCTTTGCTTTAATAAACTCCTGGGTTGCTTTGGCTTTATGTTTTGGGTCATTGTCCATCTGTAGTATGAAACGACGATCAATCAGTTTGGCTGCAGTTGGCTGGATCTGAGCACACAGTATRGCTCTGAATACCTCAGMATTCATTCGGCTGCTTCTGTCCTGTGTCACATCATCAGTAAATACTAGTGACCCAGTGCCACTGGCAGCCATGCATGCCCAAGCCATCACACTGCTCTGCTGTGTTTTACAGATGATGTGGTGCTTTGGATCATGAGCTGTACCACACCTTCACCAGACTTCTCTCTTTCCATCATTCTGGTAGAGGTTGATCTTGGTTTCATCTGTCCAAAGAATGTTCTTCCAGAACTCTGCTGCTTTTTAAATGTTTTTTTTTTAGCAAAGTCCAGTCTAGCCTTTTTATTCTTCATGCTTATGAGTGGCTTGCACCGTGCAGTGAACCCTCTGTATTTACTTTCATGCAGTCTTCTCTTTATGGTAGATTTGGATATTGATACTTCTACCTCCTGGAGAGTGTTGTTCACTTGGTTATGTCTAGTATTATAACTATAAATTGAATGTTTCAATAAACAAACTTTATGTCAGTGTCCAAATAGATATGTATCTAACTACATAATTGCAAAAGATATATAAAAAAAATCAGTGTTATAAATTCAGCATCTCAAAAGTCTGATTCTGAGTCTATATTTCTACAGTGTAACTGCAGCCTTTGTCAGTTATAATTATGAATCAAAGCTACTTGTTACATTGCTTTGAATTCAAGTGTTTCACTTGTGTTTGATATTTTTCACATGTTGAAGCTTTTCTCTCTCCACAGACGTCAACGTGGCCTTCCAGCAGGCTGCTCATAAGGTCCTGCTGGATGACGACAACCTCCTGCCTCTGCTGCACCTCACTGTGGATTACCAGGGCAAAGACAGCAAAGGTTTACTCTTGTCGCTTCTACACACTTTGTTTAGCTGGCAGGAGAAAAATACATGAAATCACGGAGAGACACTTCTTCACGATTATCATTACTTTTTTTGTTGTTTTGTTCAAGACGCGTCAGGCCCAAGAGACGGAGCCACCCCTCCTCAAGAATCGTCTCCTCGGGAGGTTCCTCCCACCGGCTGGGCGGCGCTCGGCCTCACCTACAAGGTGCAGTGGCCGCTGCACATCCTCTTCACTCCTGCCGTCCTGGAGAAGTGTGTGGCTCTTTTTCTCATTATCTGTGTTTTATTTGGAGCATGCCTTGTGCCCGTCCTCACCTCCTGTCTGCTCCCTGCCCCCCGTGGTGTTCAGGTACAATGTGGTGTTCAGGTACCTGCTGAGTGTGCGGCAGGTGCAGGCGCAGCTGCAGCACTGCTGGGCTCTCCAGATGCAGAGGAAACGCCTGAAGTCCAGCCAGACGGAGGCTGTGAAGTGGAGACTCCGGAACCACATGGCCTTCCTGATCGACAACCTGCAGTACTACTTACAGGTACCAGACAACCTGCAGTACTACTTACAGGTACCAGACAACCTGTAGTACTACTTACAGGTACCAGACAACCTGTAGTACTACTTACAGGTACCAGACAACCTGCAGTACTACTTACAGGTACCAGACGACCTGCAGTACTACTTACAGGTACCAGACGACCTGCAGTACTACTGTAACTGAATATGTGGATGGAGGACGGAGGACAACAGAGCTGCTTCATGGAAGAACCTCAGCTTAGCCTGTTAGCTTTTGCGCTAGCGCYGACGCTATATTGCCTTATATGTATTAGCTCGGCGCTGAGTCATTTTTGTGTTCCCCTCTCTGTCATGTGGATGGAGGAGCTCAGTGATGAGAGGAGAATGTGTAGCGCTGAGCTAATACATATATATGACGATAGCATCGGGGCTAACGCTAAAGCTAACAGGCTAAGCTGAGGTTCTTCCAAGTTCTGTCTGCTGGTTCCACTAAATCAAGTTGAGTAAATGTAAAACAACTGACACATTTTCTTTAAAATAAAATGTGTCARTTGCTCAATTTACTCAACTCAGACAACATCTTAATGTGTGTAAAATTACTTTAACTTTCCTGATTTTTTTGGAGCAGTTTTATGATTTTTACTGTTAAAGTAGTTCTTCTTCTTCTTCTTCTTTATAGACCTCTGTGATCCAATTTGTGAATTTTAAAAACTGTTTACAAATGTCAAAAAGTCATAGGGGCATCATGCCATGACACACTTTATGTTTATTTGAAATTAAGCAACATAAACGACCGTAACTTTACTCTTTCGCCCACGAAAACTGCACAATGAAAAGCTGATGAGACAGAACTGTCTCACATTAAACAGCTGACAGAGTGCTGAATGAAAGTGAAGGACATTTTGTAAATGATTATTATAGTATTTTATACTTTCTGGTCATTGCAGCCATAAGGCCACAACAGACAAAGAGTTGGTGTGTTATCTTGTGTTCTTTCTGTCTGTATAAACAAAAGTTTGTTACATTCTGACGTCTGACGTAAAAGGTAACACCTCCAGGGCTGTAACTAGGAAGAGAAATACATTATAAGGTCAATTCATTATGATAGAGAGAGGTTTAGATGTGTTTGCAGAGTCTCTGCTTGGCTCCAGTCTGCACAGACCAGGCTGTTTAGTTTGGGTTTCAGCTCAAGGCCTTACGCTGACAGCTGACTGCTCTGCTGTACTTGTGAACCTGATTGGCGTCAACAAGAATAAAGTTTTTAAGAAGAAATCCATTGGATTCCTGCTTTATTCAGACATGCCATTTTTGAGCAGTGCATATTTTCTGCCAATGAATGAATGTGTGTGGATGTGGTGAATTTAGTGTTTGACTATCTTAGCTGGATAGAAAGGTGCTGTAAATACAGACCATTTACCATGACTAGTTCACAATAATCAGAAACATGTTTCTTCACATGACCTGTCCATCTGGTGTCCCTCCAGGTGGACGTTCTGGAGTCTCAGTTTTCTCAGCTGCTGCAGCAGATCAACTCCACCAGAGACTTTGAGAGCATCCGGCTGGCCCACGATCACTTCCTCAGCAACCTGCTGGCCCAGTCCTTCATCCTGCTGAAGCCGGTATAACTCGCTCAGACAGCTGACCGTTTGCTGCTCAAACCCACCTTTACGTGTTGACAAGAAACCCTTCACGTCCTCAGGTGTTCCACTGCCTGAACGAGATYCTGGAGCTGTGCCAGAACTTCTGCTCTCTGGTCAGTCAGAGCGTGGCGTCGCTGGATGAGAGAGGAGCTGGACAGTTGGACCTGCTGGTGAAGGTAATGGGCTGATGGAGAATCTTTTTATTAGCTTTGTGTTTTCTCTATAAAGTACTTGGAAAAAAATAAGTAAAAGTAAAAATACCTTAACAGAAAATGACTTTGGTAAAAATAAATGTCACTGATGAGAAATCTACTTAAGTAAAAGTCATAAAACTGTTCACAAAAATTGGGAAAATAAAAGTAAAAGTACTTTTCCACGCTCTCTAACAAATAAACTGTTAAATTTACTGAACCAAACACAAAAGCAAGCTGATTAAATT